TTAATGGTTTCTTTAATGGAAGACTTTATGGGATTCAATACATCCAAAACAATATACTGGAATATAATTACAGATTTCAGCAGCAGTGACATTTCTGATACCCTTCAACTAACAATTGCAGGGTATTATCTACATCAGGCCTATTCAACTGGCGGCCCGCGGGCCAGATGCGGCCCAGAACCAACTCCCGAGTGGCCCAGCCTCCCGTAGCCAAATTCCTACACTAGTACAGACCATGAACGCAACACTCCGCGTTGCATAGAAACCACCAAACCACAACGCAGCACGTTTTTTGAAAGTGCATTTAGTGGTGCTAGTAACGGTGGTCCTATGATAGCAACTCTAAAACATGTCTCTCTCAACTCTGAAGCGTAAACAGAAACAAAACGGTCATTGATCTTGTGGAGCAGATCCAAGTCAAGCTGGACCTTTTCGCGACCGACTTGAGCACGGGTCGGATGCTGCATTTTCCGACGCTCCCCAAACACATCACATCTCCGGCACAAATCACGGATGTGATGACAGATTTCATTGCGAGGTTGAAAGAGAACTTTGCCGGTCGATTGGATGGACCTGCTCTGCCCACAGAGGTGATGGGCTTTGCCAGGGACCCCTTCACTGTTGCAATAGATGGGGACGTATCAACCAGAGCAAAGGAAGTGGTTCCCTGCATCGACAAGGGGAAATATACACTGGAACTTATTGACATGCAGCGCACTAACGGGCCAGCGAAGTTTTGGAGTGATGTCAAAAAACAGCAGTTCCCTAACGTTCAGAAAGTAGCGATCTGTGTGCTCAGTATGTTTGGATCAACATACACATGTGAATCAAGCTTTTCACACATGAACTCAATCAAAAGTAGCACTCGCTGCTCCCTGACTGACAGCACTCTTCACCAATGTCTTAGGATTGCATTGACATCCTATGAGCCAAAAATCACTGCTCTTGTTCAAAACAAAAAATGTCCCTTCTCCCATTGAGAAAGTCAGCGATGACAAATCACAAATGAGGTGATAGTAAGCACCTATTTACTATAATAGACGTGTAGTGTAGTATTCATTCATATAGTTACCCGTATCCCTTGTTATGGGTTTGTGCACTGAAGGGTTTGACAGTTCTTTCTGCATTCATTTAAATGCACTTTGTAATGTGTCTGGGTCAAATGTGACCAAAAAGTATGATTTTTTTGTTATTACTTGAAAAGTGAAAAAATAGTATTGCTACAGTACTACCTCTTTGTGTTGCATTGGAGCTCTTTAGCTGTTTTCTTTGTATGTGAGGACATTTATTAAGACTGCTATTATTGTATTCAGTAAATGCACTTTGTGATGTGCCTGGTTAAAAAAAAAATAACCTGAATATTTGACTTCTAAAGCAAACAAATGTAATGCTACAACTGTGCACTTTTTTTTCCGATTCTGTTAAATTAATGCTAATTTGTTGTGTTTTTATGCACTTTTTGACGTACCTTTGTTAGATGAACAATGAATAAAAATTGCATGTTTTTCATCGCAGTAATATGTGTTGGTTTAAAATGTGTCACTACCCGCTTTTTACAGGCCGCTGAATGTCTGGCACAGCTGAATTTTGTAGTTATAAAATCTGGCCCAACTGAATGTCTAATTGAATAGCCCTGCCTTAGGAGCTCTCTTGAGTGGCTTTATCAGTAAATTTGATTTAAACCAGAATCTGTATTTACTGTAAGGGGAAATTCTTAGAAAATGTCATAATTCTATGAACTATTTATAATAGAAAGCTTTATAAATAGGGCCCCTGGTTCAGTAAAAAAAATTATTATGTTATATGTCTAGTAATGCAGGGGTGGATTAAATAAGACCTAACTGGACTCACCACATAAATGAAGTAGCTCTAGTTAGTAAGACAAAAACGAAAGTTCGGGTCAGACCACACACTGGCTACATCTCTTACCTGGAAAAGCTGATGGGGTAAGAGGAGGAGCTGGAGAATGCCTCACTGGCCCGGAGCATGGCGGAGTTGTCCCCGATATTCTGGATTCGGCTCCAGGCCCCGCCGATGGTCGTCACTGGGAGAAACAGACTGGACACCGGCTTCTGATCCTTCTGCTGATGAGCTCCATTGCTGCTGGAGGTGGTTCCAAAGTGGTAGCTTGGTCCACTTGAAGTGCTCACCCCACAGATGGAGATGGTGTTAGACGTGGACATGGATGCTGTGGAGGCCGCGCCACTGATTTGGCAATAACTCTGGCCTGCAGACGTCTTTTCCTGTTTGATCCCGCCTTGGGTGCAGAGCTGAATGAAGCCAGCATCTTTTTCTTTCTTTACCTTTGCAGACAAAGTGGCTGTAGGGGTTAAGGAGGACGTTGTGGATATGCTTGGGCTGGACTGACCTGGACTTGTCATACTGCTGCCATTGAGAGAAACTGAGACTGCCCCACTGCTGTTAATGCTCTCAACCAGGGAAGGCTTTATGTCTCTCTCTGAGCTAACGTCTCCAAGCAGAGTATCGGCTGCAAGAGTGGACAGGAAGGCATCATCCCCTACATAAAAATCTGAGGGAGACCCAGTGAGCTCAAAGTCTTGGAGCAGGTCCAGAGTGTTGTCTGTGAAAAATTTCTGGGTCACATCAACATCTTTTCCAATGTGATCAAAGGCATGATCAAGGTCAATGGGATCCTGATCACCTCTATCCATTGAAAAATCTTCTGTTTTCGTGTGGAAGAAATTGGGATCTGATCCTCCAATAAGTGAATCCATGCAGGATTGGTTAATATCTGCTGTACTGGCCTCCAACTGGGGCAAACTTTCCCTAAAGTGTTGACGCCCGAACGTAGTGGAAGTCTGTGTCTGGAGAAAGTGCTGCTGGTGAAGCTTTTGGATTTTGATCAGGCCTCTGGGCTCTGGGTCTTCCAATAAGGGTCCAACAGTGGAAGTGACGGAGGCGGAGGAGAGCTCTGTTAGGTGGCTGTTGCTGAGGCCGTTAGGCACCTGACCTGGCTGCATCAACGGGGTGGATGGAAGAACGACTGAGGTGATGGACATGGCACTGTGAGGAGACACTTTTAATAGACCTCCCTCCTCAGGGCTTTCAGTGTAGACTAACTTGCTTAAATGGTCATCTCTTCTATATGTTATCTTTCACTCCACCTTTATCCATCTATATGTGTGTGTGGGATGGGGGTAAATAGAGAGCGTTAAGACATAGCTAAATACAGTACAAAACAATTGCATTGACACACAGTAAAGGGGGATAATCAGATGTGCTACACTGTAATGGTTTAGTTTAGTTTATTTGTCTATAGTGTCTTGGACAGTACCCATTGATCAACTGTCACAAAAAACAGTAAATGGGGCAGCTTTAGCCAACATGGCTAATTTCCAGCTTTTGTCCCAGCCAGATGGTAATAATAATAATAATAATAATGTTGTAAGGTTGGGTACATCCAGGGAGTAAGTACCAGACGTTAGGTCAATATTAGACAGGGGAAAGTTGACAGTATGCCCCCCTGCGCGCCCTTGATTGCTAATGCAGCTAAAGGTAGCTAACTACGTTAGCTGTTATTCCCATTGGGTACATGTTAACAAGAGTGAATAGTCAGTAGTGTCCATCTCATATACGGTGTACATACAGTAAACACACATAACAGTGGTCCTACCGATAATGACTCAACTCTAAAGTTGCCTAAAGTCTAAGCTATGCTAAAGATAGCTCAATGCTAACTTTTGGCATGCTAGGTAGCAATGTGGCTAACAGCCTCATTTCGTTGACAGTTACGTTAGCCTGTTAGCCAACATAGCATTTATAAGTGCATATTCCTGTTAAATGCGTTGAATTACTGTATTACTTTTAGACTAACACATATAACGATATCTACTCAAATCTGAACAAAAGCTCATATTTACCCTTGAAATGACTGATTGTTGGTATGTGTCCACAGGTCGTCTGTCAACATTGTTTTGGTTGAAAGTGGCAGTCCATAAGACGCAACACTGACCCAATGTGTGTTAACGTTTGTCCTCACTGGTAGAGTTACATGGCTCGGTAAAACGACACAAACATGTGAAGCTCACTGTGTTTTAAGAGTTATCAATCTTGTAGTTCGATCTAGCTGTTAATTGTCATGCAAACTGCCTCAAACTGGCTGAGCTGTGGAGAGTCGCAGCTAGCCATTAGGAAAGTAGGCGCTAACCTCCAATAAAAACATACAAAATGGAGAACTGAGCAAGTCAGCCCCGTGGCAGACCTGTTTACAACATGCAGCGCTACCTGCCGGCCGTACGGTGACACTGCTGCTTGTTATTAAGTTTCAAGTTCTTTATTCTTATGAAGAAGTGTAAAGCAGTCTATGGCTATGACAATCATTGTAACTCAGATTACCCTAAACAAGTTCAATATATATTAATAGAGAAAGGACAGTCACTCAAAACATAAAAAGGGTAAGTTAAAATATAGGTATATATACAACAAATAAAGATAAGATATACTTTATTTAAATGTTTTCATTACAGCAGCATGTTAAAACAAAGCCATTGCACATCATTTGAAAAATAAAAAAGGTAAACAAATAAACGAAACATAAAATAGAAACATCTTAAAATAGAAAAATAAAACAGAACTAAAAAAGGTAAAATATATCAAAGTTCCCCTTGAAAGATACAAATCTGTAGACTGTCTGACAAATAAACACTGGCCAATAATAAAATTGGCAAAGAAAATCCAGGGAAAGTGTGCAAAGCATGCAAATGGTGCCCATTAAAAAAAAAACCCCACCATGTTCTCCTCTTACATTATTGTTCATACAGCTGTCCACCATGGGCTCCGCTGTCTTGCAGCTGCTAAGAAGCCTCTGACAGAGAGACATACAAGCTGAGACAGAAGGCTGTAAAGGAAATTGTAAATGACCATTTTAGTCATTCACAATACACTGACAATGATCTGATGATGAACAGAGGGGGGGTCATTTATACATTTGCAAAGGACCAAAGGAGTAGTTACAGATCTGCATCACTCTAAAAAGATACATTGAGGGAAAAAACCATGAGGTCGGAGTCTGCTGGTCATTTGATCACATCACTAAAATAAAGATTCAAATTCCAAGTTTAAGGATTATTGTTCAAATCTAATGCAATTGATTGTTGATCATAAACTTGCATGAAAGAAAATGTTCAATGTCACTGAAATGGTTGCATCAGTAAAGATTAAACCATTATAAGATAATTACTATTCTGTAATGGGTTACCTTATTTTTAGGCCTTATCAAATAAAGCATGAAGTTAACGTTGTTTTATTGAAACAGAAGGGAGCTAACATTTTTTTAAAGTGTTACTTTAATTATGATTTTGGCCCAATACAACAAGGTTAATTCTGTTACACATAACATGCCAGCTCACACTTCTGCCTCTTTCATGAGGAAATATGAGTGGGAGAAAAGTGACTGGGAAGGGAGGAAATGGGGTGGCAGGCTTTTACTGCGTGCATAGGGATAATAACTCTGCAGAAAGGTTTGGGCCTGTATTAGTTGTTGCTTTCAAGGCTGCACAACAGTGCATTGTAAAATGTTCCAAGACATCACATTCATTGGCTGGTCTGCAAAAGCACACTAGGGAACAATGTTTAACCATCAGAAGTCTACATTTAACAATGAACATTTCATCATAAAACGTGAACGTTTATTTGTACAGAAATTAATTTAAAACCATTTCTTACTCAACAGAGTTTGTACACCTTTCTTTGAGGTGTTTTGGCCAATGCCTTACTGCAGATTAAAAAGCTAGAACCTTGCAAAATCCACGATTGTCAATTAAATGTAACAGCACATACATTCCTTACTTCATGCTCAGATGGGACCCATATTGTCTTACATTATTCATGCTGAAGTTGCTTGAAATACAACCCTTTCCAAAAGGGTGAGTCTAATCTGGGAGGGGCGCCCGAACAGGAAATAAAGTGAGGACAGGAGGCAAATTTGCTCTAATGGGAGGATGAGTGAGATGAATAAGAAGCCAATTTTATAGCACATAATGGGAGATACTCATCCCAAAGTAGGGGACAGCAATGAACTCCAAGTCTCATTATACAATTTCAATACCAGAGATGTGCATGTAGTAAACAAATAAAGCAAATAAACCCTGATTCAATTTTCTTTATTGTCCCCATCTAATGATATGAAGTCGTTTTTGTTTTTTTCCCATTTACACTAGGGTCACATAATCCACAAATATTACAATATTATGTATAATGCAAGCAGCGAAACCTCACATCACATAAAAAGAGATCAGTGGCATGGTCACTGTAGCTCTAAATCTCCACTGTTTGAATCCCACTCAGTCCCATGTGGCTGCTTAGCAACCCCTCTCCAGCACAATATAGTCTGAATTAACAGGGTAAAGCGTGACCGCTGCCTCCTCAAAACCACAAGTCAAGGGTGCGCTCCCATCATCATCGCCTTCTCTCAGCTCTGCAGCAGTAAAAGTCTCTGATTTATAACAACATGGCTTAAAAGACACTCAAAACCCAAAACAACCTGAAAAGCAAACATGAAATACAAAACAGAATGAAACACTGATCAGTGTAAATGCTGTCAGTGATGTAATAAGGGACTTTCTACTTCATGTAAAAAACCCACGAAAAAATGACACCTTTTAGTATTTTCCGGTAAACGTCTATTTGTCCTTTGCATACCTTTTATACAACACTAGTTTGTGACCTAATAATGTTTGTTAATGCTCTTAATGTCTTTCATTTTTGTAAAGCACTTTGAATTGCCTTGTGTTGAAAGGTGTATAAAAATAAACTTGCCTTGCCTTATTGTATATATAACAGAAAATGATGACAGCATTGTTAAGCCTTAAATTCTGCCTTGCATCTCACTTCTTACAAACTGGATTTTCCGCACTAGTAGGGCATCACTGTGTGGAGTATACTGATGGCTCTGTGACAAATCACTGAGCAGGCCCTGAGCAATAATACTGAAGTCCCAAACCACTGTCCTCCTGATCCAGAAAAAATGACTCATTAATGAATGTTCATATCGCTGAGTTTTGCCCTCTCACAGACATTCCTGGAAAAAACTGCAAGAAAAATGCACTTTATAGTGAAGAAATGGAGATCATTTTGAGGCATGTTTGAATATAGCATCACATACTTTTGTGTAAAAATAAAGAGTAATCAATGCATTGTTTTATTTCTATCAGTTTATTGGAGATGACATGGAGCATCAAGCAGCTGTAAGACTTGGAGTGTGCTGAGATCTGTCCCTGGTCCTGAAATAGGATTTTACTCAGTCAAATCAATGAGGAGGGGATCCATTTTCATATTCAGTCCCAGTGTTCTGGCTGCGACAGGTGATACTGCTGCATGCAGGTTCAAACTGATGCAAAAGGGTGCAACTTTAATTTGGATATTTTGGGTCATTTATTTTTATGACTGAGCCTTTATCGACTGTTGGATAGAAACAAGTTAAAGAGCAGCATCCTGCTCTACGTGAAGCTGTCAATCTGTCTCTGAAACACTGCATGAGACCTAACCCCTCACCCGTCTCTTGGGATAAGCGCGTCAGCTAAAAGCGTTAAATGTAAATGCGAAAGCCTCTGTGAAGACTCAGAAGAAGGGATTAAAATCCGCAACGCTGGATGTTTCAACTAGACATGAATCCTCTCCGCCAGCTGCACGCCGCCTATTGCAGGATCACAATCCCATGGATAACGGCACAGACCCACATCGGTCCGTTTTATGTCGATCGTCTGCAAATGTCATTTTCCTTTAAGATGATGTAAGACATTACTTCACGGGACGATTTTTGTACTCTCCCTCTCTCTCTTGCACTGCTTGCAGCAACATTATCTTAAAGCTTCTGCCGGGGCAAGCGTCTCCGCACTCAGCAGTTTGGAGAGATGGGCGCGCACAAGAGTCCCACTTTCATCCTCCCCGGAGCCTGTTTCAGGATCACAGTTGTCAGGAGAGACGCTCAGTAGGGATTGGATGCACGCACACTCTTCAATTGATGTGATAGATCCAGGAGCCAGACGCAAGACGGTAGACATTTCCACAGAAAACTTAGGCAAAAAAAAAGGGGTTTTACTTTTTTTTGAGGTGGGACATTTCAGAGTGAAGTGAGGATTGTATTTCCTTGAAGTCCCAGTAATGACCCATCGCAGAGGATGTGTGTAACGTGGTGCGCTCACTGGTTATGATAATCGATTCTGTTCGGAAAGGATACACCGAAGGGCAGGCACATTTACGCATGGGGTTAAAGGATATACTGTAGGCACATCTTTGGATTGTATGTCACGAGACTCTGGATGCAAGGACTGCAGCTTCAATCAGGACTATGCTTTTGGTCTGAGGGCATCAGCCCCATGCAACTATATCCCACGCTCTGAACTTCTGGGAGGTTTTACGCTCTGTGATCGAGACTCAGATTTCGTGCAACATCTGGAAAAGAGAAAATGGCACTGAGTGAAAACTGCAAAACGCAACCTGCAAAAGAGCAAGGTTTGGTGCAAAACCCTCCATCGGATGTTGTTGAGCTCAACGTGGGTGGACAGGTGTATTACACTCGCCTTGCCACCTTGACAAGCTTTCCAAATTCCTTACTTGGGAAGCTGTTTTCTAACAAGAAGGGCTCCTCAAATGACTTGTCCCGGGACCTCAGAGGACGTTATTTTATTGACAGAGATGGTTTTCTTTTTCGTTACGTATTGGACTACCTTAGAGACAAGCTGGTTGTCCTCCCTGATCACTTCCCTGAGAGGGGAAGGTTAAAAAGAGAGGCGGAATACTTTCAGCTGCCAGATTTAGCCAAACTTGTATCTTCTGATGATTCAAAACTATTTCAAGACGACTTTAGTGATTTCGATGATGCGTCGCAAGGCAGCGAGAGGTTTTACTCCTCTTACTCTTTGGACAGGAGGTACGGCTACATCACGGTCGCTTTTAAAGGCGCTTGTGCTGGGGGAGGCAGAGACACTCAAATTGATGTTAAGGCCAAAAAGTTACCGAGGATCTTCATCAGCAGTAGGATTGGCTTGGCAAAAGAGGTATTTGGAGACGCCCTGAATGAGAACAGGGACACGGACAGGCCACCGGACCGTTACAGCTGCAGATTTTTCCTCAAGTTCAGACACCTGGAGAGAGCTTTCGACATGCTGTCAGAAAGCGGCTTTCACATTGTGGCCTGTAATTCGTCCCTGTCTGCGTCC